AATAAAAGCATGGTCTTGGGTGAGGATTAAAAAAAAAAATACAGAGCAGCCAAAATTTCTACACTACTTGGATGAAAATTGGTTAAAGATAGATATATAGGGATCTGAGCTTATTGTCATTATTTTCAAATGTCTTGAGGTTAAAGATTTTTCCAAGATTTTTCCCTCAGTTCAGACCATTTTTTACAACAACTATGTTGTGTGTTGCAGTTGATGTAGAATTATATTGTTTAGGTTGTTTTGAGGGATGGTAAAATTCAGGCCTAGGAGAAAGAGATTCCAAAATTGAGACTCTTAAAAAGTATGATGAAAATTTCACAATAAATGCCTGATTTCTGACCAGTTAAGAAGGTGACTATGTCCCAGAATAAATTTAGTCCATATGATAAATGGAGTACAATTTAATGTTTCATTTTACATTAACATTTACACTCACATTAAATATTTTGAATTTGAAAAATACTGGGGGAGGGAGACCATTCACAGTCCATCAGTTAAAATTAATATCTGTTCAGAATAAGAAGTGAAATTTGCCTTTCTTGCACTCTGTCCCCACCACACAAATATACCTACCTCCTAGAAAATGGTTACCATTTTAGGCTTAGCCTTTCTGAATTTTTTCTAAATTTACATAAAATACATCTGTACGTGTTCTTTCTCTCTTTAAGACTAAATTATAATCAAGCTATGCCTAGTAGCATTTTTTCCTTTAACATTATATCATGGACATCTTTCCAGGTTAGTACTGTCAGTGTTTTTAATGGCTCCACTGTATTCCTACAGAAGTTGTACCATGATGCAATCATCTATTAATGAGCATTGGATTATTTCTAAGTTTTTGCTATTGCGGAGAGTGTTCTATGTAAATTTGTCTTTATTTGTATATGTGACCATTTTTGAAGGATAGGTTGCTGGAAAATGGGATTTCTGGGTTAGAGACTTACATACATCTTAAAATTATAATTGCTAGTGCTAAATCTCTTCCTCACAAAGTCATTTCCTAATCCTTTTATTAGTGCTAATTATTTTCAATCTTTAATTTTTCAATATGATGGATAGGAAATAATATTTAATTTGTAATATTCCAATTTTCTGTGAATTTGAGCATTTCATTATACAATTATTGGCTGTTTCTATTTCTTCTTTAAGTTGACCCAGTTATGTAGGTCTCTTTTGGTTTTTTGTTTTGATAAATTTCAGGAATTCTTTTTATAGTAAGCTTATCCAAGCCATGTTATTTTGTGTGTTTGTAGATTTTTTCTTCCGGTCTTTTGCTTCTCTTTTTATTTTTATTGCTGGCTACATAGAAGCTTCAAAATTTTATGTAGTCATTATTTTTCTTAATGGCTTAAAAGTTTCATAACTTGCTTGGGGAATGTTCTTCCCATCTCAGGGTTATAAAAACACTCATTTCACTTTATACTTTACAGTTTTATTTATCATTCTCATATTTTTATTCTTCTGAATATAATCAAAATGGTAGGTTCTCCTGCAGAAAATCCCATTGAGATTGTGTTAAATTTATAGATAGTACTACTATTCCTTTTCATGTAAGAACACAGTATCTCCTCATTTATTTGAGCCTTCTTGTATATATTTCAGTATACTTTTATAGTGTTCTTCATGGAAGCCTTAAATATTTTTTTGTTAATGGCACATTTCACTCCTTCCCCAACCGTTCTCCCCTTTTCTCCTTTTTCAAATAAAAATTTTCAGTATTGTATAACATGAACTTCAGAATCATTTCAGCTAGTCCTCCAAAAAAGTTTTATTGGCATGCTGTTATTTAAATTACATTAACTTTGTATAATAATTTAAATGGATTGACATATTTATATCAATCTTTCTACCCAAGAGTTTAGTTGGCCTAGTTACTCATTTGTGACTTGATGAAACTTCTATTTAAAATTTTCTCTGACATAGCGAAAGGAATTTATTTAATGTTGAAGGAAAAGCTCCCACTTACATTTATTTCTAACCTTCACTGTCTTTTTTCAGGCAGTCTCAGCATTGGTGCAGCCCTTAGGGGTGTGTGCAGAGTACCTCAATTCCTCAGTGGTTCAGGTAAGATTGGGTCATTTACATTTACTTCAGAAGGTCATCTAAGACATACAAACAGTAATTATCTTTTTATCAGGTTTGTCCAGAATTGTACCTAATTCAGAGTAACTTCTAGTGGAAATATCAGCAAGAGAAAAATTTTAAATGATTAATAATTTAAGGTCTAGGAGACCTCTAACATTTGAGATTACTTTCCTTTTTAATTTATCATTTTATAAATGTAATCTAATCTAATAAAAGACAGAAAGGGTAATTGACCATACCTTCACTACGCTTCCCATTGGCTAATCAGGGCGATATGCAAATTAACTGCCAAGAAAGATGGTGGTTAATTTGCATATATAGGCACAATGATAGGAGGCGAAAGGGGAAGGACGGAAGAACGGTAATTGGAAACCCAGGCGGCAGGCAAGAGCCCTGGGGCCCACCTTTGCCCTGTCCCCTCAGCCCTGGATCGGAGAACCGGGGCCACCTTTGCCCACCCCCCAGCCAGTGATCCCAATCGGAGGTTCCGCCTTGCCTGCAGCCCGTGATCATGATCAGCACTGAGGCTGCTTCCCATCCCTTGGACTGGCTCCCTTAGTAGTCCTGCAGGTTGAATCTGAAGAGGACAGGCCAGGCACCAAGGGACCATCACTGCCAGCATTTGAATGTGAGCAGACAGAAGGAAAAAAGACTTTGAAGTCCTGTCCAAGGCGGGTTTGCATTTAAAACCAAGTGGGGTGGTCCGGAGCTGCAGGCACTGACAACCATGGCACTGCGGCTGCTTCCCCTCCCTAGACGCTCCACAAGGTCACTTGAGCCTACCCTGCTCCAGCTGAAGTGTGATCACTGTACATGGAAGAAATGTAAAAAAATAAAAACCGATGACCAAGGGCCCACCTCCATGAGCTCACAGGAGCCTCTGAGCAGTGGGGACCCCGACTATTTTAGGGGCTTCAGGTGAGCGGGGGACACAGAGGGGTCAGGAAACCTCCCTGGAGGTCAGGCGGTAGGTCTGATGGCGGATCCATCCGACCTGCTGTCTGCCAATAGCCACCTCCTCTGCGAAGAATGGGAGAACAAAGGGGGGCAATTCTGCAATTGCTCCAGATGAAGTGTGATCATTGCACACGGGAGAAATGTAGTAAAAAAATAAAAACTGATGACCAAGGCCCACCTCCATGAGCTCACGGGAGCCTCTGAGCAGTGGACACCCCAACTATTTTAGGGGCTTCAGGTGAGCGGGGGACACAGAGGGGTCAGGAAACCTCCTTGGAGGTCGGGCAGTAGGTCTGATGGCAGGTCTATCTGACCTGCTGTCTGCCAACAACT